TCACGCAGATCGGCGGGGTCAGGGTCCAAAAACACATGGGATTTGCCACATTTCTGAAATTCGCTGGCACCCCTCACGCAGATCGGTGGGCCAGGGTCTAGAAACACTAAGGGTTTGCCACATTTCTGAAATTCGGTGGCACCCCTCACGCAGATCGGCGAAGTCAGGGTCCAAAAACACATGCTATTTGCAATATTTCTGAAATGCGGTAGCACCTCTCATGCAGATCGGCGGTGTCAGGATCCAAAAACAAATGGAATTGGCTACATTTCTGACACTCGGTGGCACCCCTCACGCAGATCGGCGGGGTCAGGGTCTAAAAACACATGGGATTCGCAACATTTCTGACATCCGGTAGCACCCCTCACACAGATCGGCGGGGTCAGGGTGCAAAAACACAAGGAATTTGACACATTTCTGAAATTCGGTGGCACCCCTCACGCAGTTCGGCGGGGTCAGGGTCCAAAAACACATGGGATTTGCAACATTTCTAAAATTCGGTGGCACCTCTCACGCAGATCTGCGGGGTCAGGATCCACAAACACATGGAGTTGGCCACATTTCTGAAATTCGCTGGCACCCCTCACACAGATCGGCGGGGTCAGGGTCCAAAAACACATGGGATTTGCAACATTTCTGACATTCGGTGGCGCCCCTCACGCAGATCGGCAGGGTCAGGGTGCAAAAACAAACGGGATTTGCCAGATTTCTGAAATTTGCTGGCACCCCTCACGCAGATCGGCGGGGTCAGGGTCCAACAACACATTGGATTTGCAACATTTCTGAAATTCGGTGGCACCCCTCACGCAGATCGGCAGGGTCAGGGTCAACAACAAAAAATTACCCTGGCGACGTACCCAACCCCTGCGCAACACGGGGCATGAGTAGCTTGGGAGACGTTATACGGAGGTGATGACGTGACATGGGCGCATATACTTCTGCAAGCGGCATTCGTGAGGCTCGCAGCCCCCCAGGGATTGCGATGTCCCGCTCAGGCCCGCGCGGTGCCTCACTCCGCAGGACCCACCAGCAGCCCTCGAAAGTGGCGACCATTTCGCAGATCGCAACCCCCCAAGGACGGCGAGGTCCCGTTCAGATCCGCGCGGTGCCTCACTCCGCAGGACCCACCAGCAGCCCTCGAACGTGGCGACAATTTCGCAGATCGCAGCTCCCCAGAGACGGCGAGGTCCCGCTCAGGCCCGCGCGGTGCCTCACTCCGCAGGAACCACCAGCACCCATCGAAAATGGCGACATGTCGCGTATCGCAGCCCCCCGCCAAGAACGGCGAGGTCCCGCTCAGGTCCGCGCCGTGCCTCACTCCGCAGGACCCACCAGCAGCCCTCGAAAGCGGCGACGGTTTCGCAGATCGCAGCCCCCCAAGGACGGCGAGGTCCCGCTCGGGTCCGCGCGGTGCCTCACTCCGCAGGACCCACCAGCAGCCCTCGAAAGTGGCGACGGCTTCGCAGATCGCAGCCCACCAGGGACGGCGAGGTCCCGCTCAGGCCCGCGCGGTGCCTCACTCCGCAGGACCCACCAGCAGCCATCGAAAGTGGCGATATTTTCGCAGACCGCAGCCCCCCAAGGACGGCGAGGTCCCGCTCAGGTCCGCGCGGTGCCTCATTCCGCAGGACCCACCAGCAGCCCTCGAAAGTGGCGACAATTTCGCAGATCGCAGCCCCCCAGGGACGGCGAGTCCCGCTCAAGTCCGCGCGGTGCCTCACCCCGCAGGACCCACCAGCAGCCCTCGAAAGTGGCGACAATTTCGCAGATCGCAGCCCCCCAGGGACGGCGAGGTCCCGCTCAGGTCCGCGCGGTGCATCACTCCGCAGGACCCACCAGCAGCCCTCGAAAGTTGCGACAATTTCGCAGATCGCAGCTCACCAAGGACGGCGAGGTCCCGCTCAGGTCCGCGCGGTGCCTAACTCCGCAGGACCCACCAGCAGCCATCGAACATGGCGACCGTTTCGCATATCGCAGCCCCCCAGGGACGGCGAGGTCCCGCTCAGGTCCGCGCGGTGCCTCACCCCGCAGGACCCACCAGCAGCCCTCGAAAGTGGCGACACCTTCGCAGATCGCAGCCCCCCAAGGGCGGCGAGGTACCGCTCAGGTCCGCGCGGTGCATCACCCCGCAGGACCCACCAGCAGCCCTCGAAAGTGGCGACAGATTCGCAGATCGCAGCACCCCAGGGACGGCGAGGTCCCGCTCAAGTCCGCGCTGTGCCTCACCCCGCAGGACCCACCAGCAGCCCTCGAAAGTGGCGACCATTTCGCAGATCACAGCCCCCCAGGGATGGCGATGTCCCGCTCAGGTCCGCGCGGTGCCTCACCCCGCAGGACCCACCAGCAGGCATCGAAAGTGGCGACAGTGTCGCAGATCGCAGCCCCCCCAGGGATGGCGAGGTCTAATTTGGGTCCGCGCGTGGCGTCACTGTGCGGGGCCCCCCAGCAGGCCTCGAAAGTGGCGACAGTTTCGCAGATCGCAGCCTCCCAGGGATGGCGAAGTCTAATTTGGGTCAGCGCGTGGCGTCACGGTGCTGGGCTCCCCAGCAGGCCTCGAAAGTGGCGACAGTTTCGCAGATCGCAGCCCACCAGGGATGGCGAGGTCTAATTTGGGTCCGCGCGTGGCGTCACTGTGCTGGGCCCACCCAGCAGGCATCGAAAGTTACGACAGATTCGCAGATCGCAGCCCCCCAGGGATGGCGAGGTCGAATTTGGATCCGCGCGTGGCGTCACTGTGCTGGGCCCCCCAGCAGGCCTCGAAAGTGGCGACAGTTTCACAGATCGCAGCCCCCCAGGGATGGCGAGGTCTAATTTGAGTCCGCCCGTGGCGTCACTGTGCTGGCCCCCCCAGCAGGCCTCGAAAGTGGCGACAGTTTCACAGATCGCAGCCCCCCAGGGATGGCGAGGTCTAATTTGGGTCCGCCCGTGGCGTCACTGTGCTGGGCCCCCCAGCAGGCCTCGAAAGTGGCGACAGTTTCACAGATCGCAGCCCCCCAGGGATGGCGAGGTCTAATTTGAATCTGCCCGTGGCGTCACTGTGCTGGGCCCCCCAGCAGGTGGCGACAGTTTCACAGATGCAGCCCCCAGGGATGGCGAGGTCCCACAAGCAGGCGCGACAGTGGCAGCCAGGGATGGCGACTGGTGGGCTCGAAAGTGGCGACAGTGATCGCAGCCCCCAGGGATGGCGAGGTCTAATTTGCTGGCGTCACTGTGCTGGGCCCCCCAGCAGGCCTCGAAAGTGGCGACAGTTTCACAGATCGCAGCCCCCCAGGGATGGCGAGGTCTAATTTGCTGGCAGCAGGCCTCGAAAGTGGCGACAGTTTCACAGATCGCAGCCCCCCAGGGATGGCGAGGTCTAATTGGTCCCTCACTGTGCTGGGCCCCCCAGCAGGCCTCGAAAGTGGCGACAGTTTCACAGATCGCAGCCCCCCAGGGATGGCGAGGTCTAATTGAATCCCCGTGGCGTCACTGTGCTGGGCCCCCCAGCAGGCCTCGAAAGTGGCGACAGTTTCACAGATCGCAGCCCCCCAGGGATGGCGAGGTCTAATTTGGGTCCGCCCGTGGCGTCACTGTGCTGGGCCCCCCAGCAGGCCTCGAAAGTGGCGACAGTTTCACAGATCGCAGCCCCCCAGGGATGGCGAGGTCTAATTTGAGTCTGCCCGTGGCGTCACTGTGCTGGGCCCCCCAGCAGGCCTCGAAAGTGGCGACAGTTTCACAGATCGCAGCCCCCCAGGGATGGCGAGGTCTAATTTGAGTCTGCCCGTGGCGTCACTGTGCTGGGCCCCCCAGCAGGCCTCGAAAGTGGCGACAGTTTCACAGATCGCAGCTCCCCAGGGATGGCGAGGTCTAATTTGAGTCTGCCCGTTGCGTCACTGTGCTGGGCCCCCCAGCAGGCATCGAAAGTGGCGACAGTTTCACAGATCGCAGCCCCCCCGCAGGCAAGACAGGAGGAGGCAAGAGGGAGGCGGGACAGGAAGGAGGGAGTGGAGACCACACTGCTCTATTCAAAACGAATACCCAACCAAGGAGGGTTGGGAAAAGGATTTGCCACCTGAAATTCGGCGGCACCCCTGACGCAGATCGGCGGGGTCAGGGTCCAAAACACACATGGGATTTGCCACATTTCTGAAATTCGGTGGCACCCCTCACGCAGTTCGGCGGGGTCAGGGTCCAAGAACAAAGGGGATTTGCGACATGTCTGAAATTCGGTGGCACCTCTCACGCAGATCCATAGGGTCAGGGATGAAAAACAAGCAGGTCCCGACACTGCTTCACGGCGGCGCCCAGACCTCATGATTTAGCTTTTGCATCTCCCAGTATCCGAGACAGGGGGCCGGCGGCATGGGGCGAAGCCCTTACGGATAAACAAGGAATATGGCGAATCTGACAATGATGATGGTGATGCTTAGGAGCTCGATGCGTGCAATAATGACGCGACGGAGGATGAGGAGTAAGAGACACATAATGCAGGAGAGGATGGAAATGGAGCAACAGGAGGGACCAGGGAGCGGGAGGAGAAGAGGAGGGGGAAGGGAAGCAGGACGAGGGAGAACGAGGGCAAGCAATGCGAGAGAAACAGAGAGAGAGAGAGAGAGAGAAAAAAAAAAAAGAGAGAAGGAGCCGCAGCAGCAAGACAACGAGGAAGGAGGAGAAGAAACAGGAGGATCAGGAGAGGATGGGGACGAGGGTTGGGGGGAGGGCGCCGACGCCGATGCCGACGACATCGGCATCGACGACGACGACGCCGCCGCGGACGACGACGACGCCGACGACGACAACGACGACGACGACCAAGACGACCAAGACGACCAGGAAGACGACGACGACGACGACGACGACAACGATGACGACGACGACGACGACGACGACGACGACGACGACGACGACGACGACGACGACGACGACGACGACGACGGCGACCGCGGCGGCGACGGCGATGGCGACGGCGACGGCGGCGGCGACGGCGACCGCGACGGCGACGGCGACGGCGCCGACGCCGCCTGCGACGCTGCCGTCGCGGGCGCTTCTGAAGCCGGGCTTGCGGCAGCCGCCCTGGCTACCGCCTGCGCCGCCTGCGGGCGCTTGCTGTCCGCCGCGGCCGCCGCCGCCTCCTCCCGCGGGTGCTGCGCCGCCTGGGGGGCGCCCAAGGAGGCTCTCGACAACAGTTTCGTCGACGTCGACGTCGTCGTCCTCCTCCTCCTCCTTCATTTTCACAACCGTCCTGTGGTGTTGGGTCCTCGTGTCCTCGCATCATCATCATCATCACCATCATCATCACCACCATCATCACCCACAACAACATCATCATCATCCTCATCAGCATCGCCATCACCATCGCCATACTCATCCTCGTCCTCATCATCCTGACCGTCATCATATCAGCATCAACATCATGGTCAGCATCATTATCATCGGCATCCTCGTCATCATCATCACCATCATCAACATCACCATCATGATAGCACTTGTTTTACTGAAGCGGCGATATGTCTTGTAAGAACGCTGCGGCAACTCGAAGCGGACGAAACGGGCGACAGACTAAACTAATACATTAATTGCTTGAAACCTGACTCCTGGGCTTGGGGGGGAGGGGAACATATTGACCCTTAATGGCTAGAAGTAAACGACCGTGAACGCCACATTTGTGCAACAGCTAGATCATTACTGCGCCCGTACTCTCTTGATATCGCTTGTTTTATAGAAGCGGCGATATGCCTTAGAAGAACGTTGCGGCAGCTCGACGAAACAAACAAATTAATTGCTTGAAACCTGACTCCAACATCATCCTAAAAACCGATGCTCTCTTGTGCGAGGGAAAACATACGGGGACCGCGTGGCCCCAGTCAGGGCTGAAAGAACCTGTACTAGCGCTCGGCACAATGAAGCCGGGCACGCTTGTGCGATACGTGTCCAGTTGGCCCCACCGGGGGCGTGCCCTTCGAGGGTAAAGTGAGCCTTCCCAGTTCGCGAACGAACCCCGCGACCCCGACAGCGACGACACAAACGCTGGAGGTCGAGCTCATCTACCCGCCCGCAAAGAAACCTGGTGGTCTTCCTCCATCTGGTCCCGAACTGACAGAAATCAGACACGGCCTGGAAAACCTTCGGACCACTCTCGAGCCCCAAGACAGCGGGCGCCTTAAACATATAAGAGGAGTGCGGGTTTACTACCATCCACGGCACATGTGACTTCTGACACTCACGGGCGATCCGAACGGCGGCTCTCATCAACCTGTTTCCCACATCAACCTGCTGTTGATATTTTTCACACACATCTGGAACACCCATCGGCCACTCTGCGGTCCTCAACGTCTGGCCGCGGTGCCTCGCAATACTGAATGTCGTGCGAGAGGGCCCCATCATGACTCCGAGCACTCAGCACTTCCCCAGCCTGTACGTCGCCGAGAATGCCCCTCATCCCCTCCGGCCGCAACGCATCTCCCTTGGCGCCATTCACAAGGTCAAAAGATCGCACTGGAAGCCCGCTCGAATGGGCCGCCCGCCCGCAGCCGCCCTCCCCGCAGAAGACATCCGCGAAGTAGCGGCCCTCGCGGACAAGATGTCCCCACGGCCCCTTGGCGACGGCACGGTCCGCCAGTGGATCAAGATGCCCTCGAGCTGCTTCTCGCAATCGGTGGCGCAGTTGAGCAGCCACTGGGGGTGGAACGACGCGGAGTGGCTCAGTCGGGCGGCTTTCTCGTAGCGCACCACTGACTTGTCCGTTCGCCCCCCTCCGCGCCGCTTGACATCTGCCGGGCTTCGCCCATTCGACGCCCGATCGATGCTGGCCCCCGAGTGGCGCGTCTGGCATGGCACCGGCTCCTTGAGGCCCAGGATCATCGCGGCCTCGCGGAACTTCGTCACGTACTGGCTGTTGTTGAAATCCCATGCGCTCGACTCCTGAGGCCGTCGTCGCAGCTTCTCCAGCAGCGGGCTGCGCCGCTCGAACCACTTCGAGATCGTTGCCAAGGACAGGTCGCGCTCCCCAGTCTTGCTCGGGCGATGCAGCACTTCGGGATTGATCAGCAACGTCCAGCGCCGATTTCCCTGCTTGCGAGGCAGCTGGATATACTCGGGCATCTGCCCCAGCAGCTGCGCGGGCCGCAAGTAGGTAGACAGGCCGATCATCGCGAACAGCCCCATCTGTGGCTGCCCCAGCAGCACCAAACAGTTGCGCAGCGCGCACAAGATGCCGAGCGGCTCCGGCCTCCGCGACGCGCGCGCGGCGGAGGAATAGGCGCGGATGGCGCCTTTCGACGTGGCGTCGAGGTCCAGCGCGTCGCCTTTCTGCATGTGGGCGCGGGCGCGCGGCGACCTGGGCCTCGTCAGCGCGCGCGCGGCAGCCGAGATCGGCTCCCAGTGCGTCCGCAACGCGTCGACCATGGAGCCGCCGTCTCCGACGACCCCGCCGTCTCCCGCCGCCGGCAACAGTCCCCCCCCGCCCGGCCGGCGCCTGGCCCGCGTCCGGCGGGGGGCCAGACGTCGAACATTGATTCCGCCCAGAATTAGGCACTTCAGCCACGGGGCCCGCGTGGCGATCCTCCGCTGGGAGACGCGGGGGCTGCGCTGGAGCTGCGTTGCCTCCGCGGCGCCAGCCGGCCCGCGAGGTCGCCGCGCCGCCTGCTCGGCCCACGCCGTCGCAATCGCGGCGCGCTCGTCGGCGAGGAGGATAAAAGAAAGAAGAACGGCATAAACATTAAGTTTTGGCGCTCGTCGCGGATTCCTCGGATCTTCGCCGGGCCCAGGGCGCGCGGGGCGCGCCGGGGGCGGCGGCGGAGGCGCCGCCAGGGGCGCCCGGCGCGGGCCCAGAAAATCCGCGGGGAGCGCCAACAGTATATGTTGAAGGCGTCTTTCTTCTTCGAGAGGGGTCGAACCTCGGCGTCGGAGGCCTCGGGCGCGCTCCGACGCGAGCGCTTTCGGCTTCCGCGCCATCGCGAAGGGCGCCGCGGCGTGGTCGCTGAGGCGGGGGTCCGGGAGCGACGCGGCGTCGCGCTTGAGCATCGCGCCAAGCATCGCCTCCCGCGGAGAATGCCATGGAGGACCGATGGAGAAGCGGTCGGTGGAGGTGGCGATCGCCACTCCGACAGCAACTCGGCGGCCCTCGGCCGGCCTCTGGAACTGGGCCCCGATGATGGTCACCTGGGGCTTCATTGTTGAAAATGCATTATTTTCTCAACATTTCGGGCCAACGACGGCCCCGCGCGGCTCCGGGGCCGTTTCGGATCGCCCCGAGACGCGGTCGACGAAGAGCTGGTCGACGCGAAGGCAGGCTGGTGAGGTCGGTGCGATTGCGAGGCGAGCATGTTCGGGCCGCGGCTGGGATAAGCGTGAAGGCTGGCGGCGGACGCGTTGAGATTGCCGCCCGCGATGAGCGTCGGGCGTCGATCATCCACCTCCGCCTCAATGCCAGCGAACGCGCTGCAGAGCGCGGCCCCGTACCTCATAGTTGTGGGCGCTGGTGGCCACGATGGCATTGTTGCTCGTGGGATTGGCGATGGCAAGGGAGATAACGCGACCAGTTGGGACTGCCTCGGGACGAGGGGCAGTTGGCAGGTCGGGGCGAAACTGGGCCTGCAGCGCAGGCAAGAGCCGGGGGCAGAGAATGGCGACCCCCCCAGCCCCGGTGAATAATTCGGACTGCTGCGGTGTCCAGTTCCTGGACCTGCTTGCGGAAAGTTTAGTGAACCTTATCACTTAGAGGAAGGAGAAGTCGTAACAAGGTTTCCGTAGGTGAACCTGCGGAAGGATCATTCGCACGCATCCATTCGAATCATTGTGAACAACAGTTGGTGAGGCTCGCGGAGGTTCTGCCAGTGAAGAAGAGGAAAACCTTGCGACCTCGTCGGGGCGCGGCTGCGCGCCAGTCCACGCGCGGAGGACAGCCCGGGCCTCGGGCCGAGGATGGCGCGGCCACGCTTCATGCGCTGGCCGGGGGCGGCCCGCTCGAGGCGCTGGTGGCTCCGCTCGCGGGGCGCCGGCGCCCGGGCCCAAGACGCAACGCTAGCAGGCCGGGGAGACTCCACGGCGAGCCATGGCTCCCATGGGCGGCTGGGAACGCCACTCGGCGCCCTCGGCGTCCGCGAAGAGCGCCGTCTCGCGGTCGACTTCGGCGATGTGGGCCAGCGCCATTTGGTTCCATTGCAGCTTCGTCGGGCCCGCCTGGCCGTTCATTTCCAGGCGAGTGATCTTGGCCGCGTCGCAGTGGATCCCCCTTTGCCCTGGGAGGCTGTCCATTTTGCGGGCGGGATAGCTGTCCTTGAAGATGTGGAATTTCTTGCGTTGGGAATCGGTGCGCGTTTGCGTGGGGGGATTTGTCGGGGCGGATGTAAATCGGAGCGATGATGCCATTGGCGCCGTTCGACTGGCAGATGCGCCATCGTCCAGCAGCGTCTTTGAGAGCGCGCGAGCGCGAGGGCGCGCGGAGCAAGGTCACGGCCGACCTTGGCCTGGAGAACGAATCGCCGCACAGGCGCAGACCCGACGAGTCTGACCATGATGGGCTGCAGGTTGGCGTCCACAATACCCTGCTGTAGATCCTGCAGGACCAGTCTGCGGGCCGATGAGCCGCTGGATGCCAATCGGGAAGATGGTGGACTCGGGCACGCGGTCCCACTCCGTGAGACGCGGGATATCGGCGATCGGCACTTGTGCCTCAGACAGCGCCCGCGTGTCCTGCATCTGCAAGATCTGCTGCGCGTCTGCGCGGTGAGCTGGCGTTTCTGCTCCTGCCGCACTCGGGCGACGCTGTCGGCGAGGCGATCGACCCGCCGTCCGGTCTGGACGTCCTGTTGCTTAAGAAGCTGGCGGCTGAAGTCGGATCTGGATTGCTGCGCGACGGCGTTGGCCTGCGACTGGAAGGCGGTCTTGGCGGAGACAATCTGGGCGGACATGAGTTCGGTGAGGGCTGACTGCAATTCAGCTGAGCTGCCAGCGGAGATCCAAGGATTATTGGAAAAACCTCCGCCACCTGCGCGGTCATGCCCGCGTCGCCGGCCGGTGGTTGTTGAAGCGGTGGCGGCTCAGAGGCGCGAGGGGCACCAGCGCGAACGGGCGGGTAGCCGAATTCTGGACCCTGTGGACGGTCCGCTGCGCCCTGCTGCACCTGGGATGGGCCGCCGAAGGGGCCAGGCGC